AAGCTGTGATGCGGAGCACCAAATTATCAAGCAACACCATGTTGAGCGGGATATGTCTCCTGCATGTAGAAAAAATTTAAACAATGACAGAACACAAACAAAATATAGGGAACAGGTTTATATCTAGTAGAAGAGGCCAAGTTTAGGTTGACTTGACTGGTTTCCTGATAGAAGAGAATAGACATGTGCACATAGTAAAGACTAACTGAAAAGACAAGAGTGGGACGTCATAGGCCTACGTGAGGACCGCTGTTAAATAATTCGATCAGGTGGGTTTATGATCTGGATTATAAAATTTATGTTGAGAGAATTACCACCACCCCACCCCCCCCCCCAATCTTTTAGTAGCACTAGTATTTGAGATGCATAACTTGGTAACTAAAAATAATGAAACACATTGCCGAATGTGTGCTAAAAATGAATATTTTTTGAGGCGCGCTTTTCGTAAAAAATTCGTAAACACTACGAGATACGTTTTGACGTCGTCAGTGTTGCGCCGACAGCTAATTCGATAGATTCCTTTACATACGAAGAGAATTTTATTTATAAAGATATTTCTTTGAAATTTTTAGGCATTATTCAAAAAATGCTGATCATGATGCATCCCAATTTTTAACTTTATAGTCCTAGTAAAACAAAAGATATTAAAGATGTTCGCGTTTTCCTGGGACAACCCTCGTATTAGATATTCACAAGTCTTTTGATGGAAGAATGATTCTTATTAATTTAATTTTGGAAGAAAAAACGCTTACAATAATAAACGTATATGCACCAAACAATCAAACAGAACGAAAGTCCTTTTTTGTTAAAATCAAAAAATGGATAGCCAAACATTCTTGTAATACTGACAATATTATTTTAGCAGGAGATTTTAATTGTAATTTAGAGAAGACTGATGATTCTAGTATTAAAAATTTCAAAAATATATTAAACAACAATAATTTGAAAGACCTTTGGCGCGACTTAAGGTCACATGATTTAGGATATACTTGGTGCAATGGGGCAAACGTACCTACAAGCAGAATTGATTATTTTCTTATATCAGAATCTCTAATATTTCCAGTCGAATATATAATCCTCCGAGAAGTACCTGGGTTACATTCAGGGGGAACAAGAATGTCAGATCACAAATGTATTAAGGTTAACTTTGACATTGATTTGAATATAAGAGGTCCCGGATATTGGAAATTTAATGCCTCACTTCTACAAGATAATATTTTTGTAAAAGAAACGAAAAAAAATATTAAAGATTTTAAATCAAACGATAATGCTCAAGCATCTTTGGAGGCATTAAAAATTAAAATAAAAGATTATTCTATCAAATATAGTAAAACTATTAGTAAATCATGCAAACGTCAAATCATTCATCTAGAAAATGAAATAGCAACTATGGAGAAATCAAATTCAAATGATATCGATATGAATAGAAAAAGAAAATTAGAATCCGAACTAAAAGAACTTATTAATAAAAAAGCCAAGGGTGCCCAAATTAGATCTCGTGCGAAGTGGATAGATGAAGGAGAAACAAACTCCTCATTTTTCCTTAAACCTGAATCAACTCATCAAAATAATAATACTATAAAGCGTATAAAAAATGGTGACCATATAACTACCAATAGTAGCGATATCTTAGGGGAAATGTGTGATTTTTATATTAAATTGTATAAATCATCAAATATTGATAATAACGAAATCAAAACTTATTTGGAAGCAACTAACATAATTCGGGTAGTTAATGAGAATCAGAAAATAGAATTAGATGAATTTCCGACAATGAATGAATGTGATGAAGCGGTTGAAATGTTGAAATCCAATAAATCTCCAGGCCTGGATGGGTTAACAGGTGAATTTTATCAAACGTTCTGGAATGAACTAAAGCCGCATTTTTACAATAATTTAATATATACCTTTGACAATAAATGTATGACTTTCTCCCAACGTCTATCCTTAATTACGCTTATCCATAAAAAGGGGGATAAATCAGACCTAGCAAATTATCGACCAATAAGTCTCACAAATACTGATTATAAGATAGTAGCGATTATACTAGCTAATAGACTTCAAAAAGTAATAGACCTACTAATTAGTAAACATCAGTCTGCAAATATAAAAGGAAGATATATAGGAACAAATGCAAGAACAATTTTAGATATATTTGAATATTGTGAAAATAAAAATTACGATGGAATTTTACTTTTCTTAGATTTCCAGAAAGCCTTTGATTCAGTAGAGTGGAATTTCATTTTTGAAACCCTGAAACGTTTTAACTTCGGGGAAAATTTTCTTCAGTGGATTTCAATTTTGTATAAAGAACCAATTTTTAAACTTAAAAATTATGGATGGGTATCTAAAACGTGTAAAATGGAAAGGGGCATAAGACAAGGATGTCCTATTTCTTCGATGATCTTCCTATTTGTGGCAGAAATTTTATCAATAAAGATAATGTCTGACAATCAAATTATTGGATTTAAAACTCCTAAGATGTCAACTGATATTAAAATGATACAACACGCTGATGATGCTTCATTAGCACTCCGCGATAAAGAATCATTTAAACAAGCAATTACATGTATGAATAACTTTGGAGATATATCTGGGTTAACTCTTAATATTAGCAAAACTGAATGCATGTTATTAGGCAATCTGAAGGATACAGATCATAATATATATGGGATAAAGGTTAACAAAGAATGTATTAAGGTTTTAGGAATTCACGTAGGTCATGATATAGAGAAATGTATAGAGAAAAATTGGGGAAATAGAATTAAAGAGCTCGAAAGACTTTTTGAATCATGGAAAAAAAGAAAATTGACTATATTTGGAAAAACTTGCATCATTAACAACCTTGCTGTATCTAAATTAATTTACAACCTCTCACTCTTGCCATGCCCTAGTGCTGACATTATGAAAAACATAAATAAAATTATTTTTAACATTATTTGGAATAAGAGAGACAGAATAAAACGAAAAACTTTAATAGGAAACGTAGAGCAGGCTGGTATAGGAGTTGTGGATTTAGAGTCTAAAGCGAAAGCAATTAGATGTGCTTGGATTCCCAAGTTGATATCTAACGAAAACAACAATATTAAAATCTTTCTAGAGAACTTTAATTTAAGAAAACAAGATATTATCTATATGTTACACACTAATGAATTAGCAATAAACAATCACAATATACTTAAGCGTCTTCCGATGTTTTATAGAGAAATTTTTGAAGCCTTTAATGAATCTAAGAGCTCAATAGAAATAAGTAAAATGACTACACCAGACTTTTTGAAACAATCTATATGGGGAAACAAGATTTTTAATTACAAAAATAAGGTACTTTTCTTCGAAAACTGGTATGACGCTGGAATTTTATATGTAAAGGATATTGTGGATGAAAATGGTCTAAGGCCACTTGAATACTTTTCAAATTTACTTGTTAAAAAAAATAATTTATATTGTGAATACTTGACATTAAAGAATATTTTTCAGAAATACATGAAGCAGTTCGATCTCAGCTTATCAAAATTTACAAATATCAGAAATACGTACTATTTCCTTTTTAATGATAATCAATATCACTGCATTAAAGACAATAAATGCAAGTTCTACTATGAGATTTTTAAAAACAAAAAATTTGTAAAGCCATGCTACATCAATAAATACAAAAAAGAATTCGGTATCCAAAGTCAATATTTTTCTACAATATATTTTTCCAAAATTGTCAAAGCCTTTGACAAAAAAATTTCTGATTTTAACTACAGAATTCTAAATAATCTTCTTAACAATAGAAGTTACCTAAGCAAATGGAATGACATATCTAATCTGTGTCCATATTGTAAGGAAAGTGTTGAAACAAACAAGCACTTAATATACGAATGTCAAAATATTCAAAGAATATGGAATACTGTCAGTGAAATTTTAAAATTTAATATATCATGGAAACTCATAGTTGTAGGATTTTACAATGAAGTTAACGAAAAAACACTATTATTAAATAATCTTATATCATTTATAGCCCTTAGAATCTATAAATACAAAATGATGTGTAGACTAGAAGAATTAGCTGAATCCCCATCAGCAATTCTTTGTCATGTTAAAAAATCCTTAAGTATGTTTTATTGTGATCTTAAAAGATCAAAATATAAGAATTGGAAAATAGATATATTTAAAAAAATTGAAGAAAGTTTGTGATACAAATTATATAATTGATCAATTTCTATGCATGTACATATGAATATATGTTTATTATTTATAAGATGTGTTTATGTTATATAATAATTTATGTTTTATAAACTACAATATTTAATGTCTGAAAAAAAAATTGATACCATCTTTTCATCCAAAGGTGACCTGGCCTTTGGAGTGTATAAACGTAGGGGGACTTTTGGACTTGATACGTTGGTGCCCCCTTCGAATATTTTTCGTAAAATTGCTGTAGTTTCGTATATATAAATTACTTAAAACAAATACGAAATATGAATGAAATTTTCTTTTGTACTCATAAAATGTGAACTTGAACATTTTTTGTAAAATTGCTGTAGTTTGATATATATAAATTACTAAAAACAAATACGAAATATGAATGAAACATTTTTTTTTGTACTCATAAATTGTGAACACTTGTGTAAATGCATCTTTTGTTTAGTCTATTCTACCCTACTGTATATTTAACCACATAATTATTATCTTTGTACAATTCTTTTTTGTCTATCCGATCCAGGGACCTCCTGGCACCCCAGGTGAGGATATATTTGCGAGGGCCTCTGAGGAGGCATTACCTCCACAGTTATTGTTATTATGTTATTGAATAAAATATTATATTAAAAAAAAAAAAAAAAAAAAAGATTGTGCTTTTGTTGTGTGTATTAATTCTATAATCTTTCTTTTCACAAAATATAAAAAAAAATTAAAAAAAAACACATAAGAATTTTCACACTGACAGTTAACCCCGATCAAGTTGCATTACTTAAGATCCACTCCCCAAAAACTTTCGAGATATCAGATAAGGAGTGCCTCTAGCTTAGTTGGTCAGTTTCAGTGTCAGGATAACCTTGTTATGCAATTTTCTTGCTGGGCAGAGTATAGCTGTTTGCAGCTTATCTAGGTCAAAATTTGAATTCAACTGATGGACAAGAAGTGCGCCTCTCTTTGCTGTTCATATTTAATGTGTTTTCAAGCTATATACACAAGGATTAAGGATGGAATATCAACTTCTGCTCAGTAAGTATTATTTCCTTTTCATGAATTTAAGAAATTAAGTTTTTTTTTTGGTATCTGCTCATCATTTAATTCCTGTTTTATAAGCTAACATATTTGAAATCTGCATGAAATGCACATCCTTGATTCGTGTATTATGTGTTTTGTTGATATTCATTTGGTTATGAAATATAAGCTAGTATACTAATATATTATACAATTTAACTAATTTTAGTTCGTCGTAAGGTTCAATCAACCAGTGGTGCAGGGAATTGATTGTATATAAGTCAGCCTTGATTGCATCAGATTCTTCGCCCGTGAAAATTATACAAAGGAATGCAACATTTTGTAAGTACACTATGTATATGTATGTCTATAACATTTTTCTTTAGTAATAATTAGTTATAAGCATACTCATACAAATTTTAACATGAAGTCAACTATATTTCTTTTAATCATGTTATTTAAATCCAAGTACCGGAATATATTCCTTTGCCTGATTTTTTAAATCATTCATGTATATTTATTTATTTTTATCGTTTGAAATAACGTGTTACGTACATTTTATCAAACAAATGGCTTTAACATCTTTATTTCTTTTATCAAAAGGCTTTTGCTTTAGAGGGTGGATTCTCCTGTTCATTTCTTTCATTCGTGGGACTTAACTATATGCGTGATTAAAATCAATGGATCCGCCACTTTGTGGAACTTAGTAGTGTAAGGCAGACGCGTACTTTGAAGGACCTGGATGTGATTACTGTGACCCACTTTTCACTAGGAATATAAATTTTGTCAAGCAGTGATTTTTTAAAATTCAATGATTGAATCCGAATTTGTGTTTGGCTTGAAAATACATATAAAATAAATTCTCTCACAATCATAATACTCGATTACAACTTATATAAATATTACGCAACTTGAATAAAAAAATTCATTTGAATTTGATATGTATTTGTTTATAAAGCAAAATGTAATATGAATTCAACGTGATTTCAAGCAAATATCAACGTTTGTACAACCGAAAAATTTAAACCACATCTCAACCTAATTTCAACCAATGTTCACTTCTGTTCAATGTTGATATTTGACGTTGAAACAACGTTGAAGCTTCAACGTTGCCTCAACTTTCATTTGCAACCAAAAATCAACCATAAATCAACCAAAAATTAAACCCATTTTCAACGTTTATACAACGTTGAAAATTGACGTTGAAACAACGTTATGTCTCAACGTTGCCTCAACTTTCATATGCAACCAAAATTCAACGTTGATTCAACGTTGAAGTGCAACGTTGATTCAACGTTGAATCAACGTTGAAATGCCTGCTGGGATAAAACTTTAAATGACAAAGTTTGTTATTCTAAGCCAACAAGTACCTGATAATATTTAAATATAGCCATAAAATTTTGAAAATAGATCAAGGTAACCTATTTTTGACGTTCTCCAAGGACTAAAGATGCAGAAATTGACAAAGTTACTACTCTTAAACAATAAACCTTTGACAGTTTTACAAATAATATAAATTGAAAGTTTGATGAATCTAAGCCAATTAGTGCATGAGATATTTGATTATAACAATGAAATTCAGGTCACTATGACGTACCCTTTGGTCAAGATTCTTCAAATACCTAAGATGCATCAACTGATCATAGGCCCTAAATGTCAAAATGTGCGTCTTAAATTGCCAGCAAAATTCAAAATGTAGGTCACAATGACCGGTGACTTTTCTATCAATATGTTTCATGACTCGAAGATGCATCATCTTACAACATTTAATGATTATCAACCTATGAGTATTTTAATTCCTGACGTTTGGCTCAGGTTAGCTTAAAAGTATGCCAAAGTGACCTTCAAGTTGGTACATGTACATGTATACTCCGAGTTATAGACATTTTTTAAAAAAAATGTAACTTTTGGTCAATTTTAAAGTGACCTTGACACTACACCCTTTGCCTCAGGGTAATGCCTTGAACAATTTTGTATTTTCATTATATCCTGATCATTTTGTGTGTTTGGTGATAATCTGCCCAGTGGTTCTTATGAAGAAGTATTTTTAGCAACCTGTACCTGTGGTTTTATTTACCTATTAATTACTTCCTCTTGTTGAAACCTTCTTCCTCTTGTTTTAGGGTAACAAACCTCGATTGAAAGGGAGCCCTCAGGCCAAGAATTTACCTTGACAAATATGACAACTATCAGGCAAGGGATTCTTTAGCCAATGCCCATAATCTTACACGTTTACACACACCGCACCAAATGCCACAATATTAGCTTTTTCAGTCTTGGGTTTGAAGAGCTAAAGTCATTTGTCAGTAAACATGGTAAAACAGATTTACATTCTACTTCTTTATTATACAAGAAGGGTATGAAGATAACGAACAGTATTCAATTTCAAAGTCCATTAACAAATAAAACACTATTCATAAAATTAAATCTTTCGTTGTTCTTCATCTATTACTAATAAACCGGTCATGAAAGCCTAGTGGTAGAGCGTTCGCATCGTGATCGGGACGCACGGGATCGAATCTAAGACAGTATTCCAAGCGAAGACTACACTGTACCTCGGGGCTTTCAAATCATGGTATGCAGATTGCAAAAGTGTAAATGTAAAAAGGGGTTATTTTGAAGGATTAAACTAGTTTAAATTTGATATATATTGTTCTTATTATTTTATAGAAAAACTTGCAAATAGATATATAGAAAGGACTTTCCTTTTCAAGTTATTTTATGAGTAATGTAATGGATAATAGAAATAATAATAATAATAATAATAATACTTTATTTAGAGAAGGTAATCGGATTAGTGCGAGCACTAGTCTTCCTCGGGGCCTTCTTTAAAACACATATACAATGCATATATACAATAAATAGAATTACAATTATTAGACAATAAAAATCAAGTGTATGTTACAAAGTAATAAAACATCAACATTTCAATATATATAGAAAGAAGAACACAAAATCATAGAGAATCATTGCGTTTCATCAGCAGAAAATTTTCAACATTTCTTTTAAATATTGCCAGGGATTGGGACTTACTGATATTAATTCGTAACTCATTCCAGATAATAACCCCTGAATATTGTTAAGAATTTTTAGATAAGTTCGTTTTATATTTTGGTAATCTAAGTTCTGAATTTGTTTCTGACCGTAACGTGTATGATCCAGAACTTTGAAATTCAAAAAGATTTTGCATATAATCGGGAGACATACCATTAAATATTTTGAACATTAGAATGCCTTTCTGTAAATATAAAAGTTCATAAACTGTTAGCCAACCTAAAGTGTTAAATAAAGGCATTGAAGGTGTATCAAAGTTTTCATTTAAAATAATCCCAGCTGCTCGTTTTTGTAATCTGTAGATTCTATCCATATGCGTTTGAGGACAATTGCCCCAAATGGATAGACAATATAAAATTGATGGTAGAATAAAAGCATTATAAAATAGTTTTCTAGTATGAATTGGAAGAAACCTCTTAATTTTTCGTAAAGTAAATAATTTGTATGTAAGAGTTTTGCAAACTGCATCTACATGACATGTATATTGAAGATTATGATCAATGATAACACCTAATAATTTTGCATCTCTACATTTTCTAGAGGCTGGCCGGAAAATTGCAGATGAAAATTAACGTTTTCTAATTTAGATTTCTTTTGTTGAGTTCCCATTTACATACATTTTGTTTTATCAGTATTTATAATCATCTGATTTTTTTGACACCAGTTTTGTATTTGACAAAGTTCATGATTAAGAGTTGTTTCAATACGTGAAATATTATTACCATGAAAATGCATTGTAGTGTCATCAGCAAACATATCAATATTACAATGTTCAACACAATGGTAAATCATTAATGTACAATAGAAACAACAAAGGACCTAAAATAGAGCCCTGTGGCACACCTGCTGTGACTGGCAGTGATTCAGATGTGTACTCACCAATTTTTATACCCGCACTTTCTAAAGAAAGTTCGGGTATATTGTTGTTACTCATGTCCGTCCGTCCGTCCGTCCGTCTGTCACACTTTTCTTCCCTGAACTCCTCCTACATTTTACACAGTAGCTTAATCATCTTTTGGGAGATGGTTGGTGGTGTCATGTAGATGTGCAGTAAAGTTTCGGAATTTTGATTTTGCCCCGAGGGGTCAAATGGGGGTCGAAAAATGATGTTTTTTGTGCAAAAAGTCCCGTCTTCCCTGAACTCCTTCTACATTTTACTCAGCAGCCTAATCATCTTTTGGGGGATGATTGGTGGTGTCATGTAGATGTGCAGTAAGGTTTCGGAATTTTGATTTTGCCCCTGGGGGTCAAATGGGGGTCGAAAAATGATGTTTTTTATGCAAAAAGCCCCGTCTTCCCTGAACTACTTCTACATTTTACACAGCAGCCTAATCATCTCTTGGGAGATGGTTGGTGGTGTCATGTAGATGTGCAGTAAGGTTTCGGAATTTTGATTTTGCCCCGGGGGGTCAAATGTGGGTCGAAAAATAACGTTTTTTATACAAAAAGCCCCGTTTTCCTTAAACTCCTCTTACATTTTACTCAGCAGCCTAATCATCTCTTGGGAGATGGTTGGTGGGGTCATGTAGATGTGCAGTAAGGTTTCGGAATTTTGATTTTGCCCTGGGGGGTCAAATGGGGGTCGAAAAATGATGTTTTTAATGCTAAAAGCCCCGTCTTCTCTGAACTCCTCTTACATTTTACTCAGCAGCCTAATCACCTTTCGTGAGATGGTTTGTGGTGTCATGTACATGTGCAGTAAGGTTTCTGAATTTAGATTTTGTCCCGGGGAGTCAAATGGGTTTCGAAAAATAACGTTTTTTATGCAAAAAGCCCTGTTTTCCCTGAACTCCTCTTACATTTTACTCAGCAGCCTAATCATCTTTTGGGAGTTGGTTGGTTGGGTCATGAGGATATGCAGTAAGGTTTCGGAATTTTGATTTTGCCCTGGGGGGTCAAATGGGGGTCGAAAAATGATGTTTTTTTATGCTAAAAGCCCCGTCTTCTCTGAACTCCTCTTACATTTTGCTCAGCAGCCTAATCACCTTTCGGGAGATGGTTGGTGGTGTCATGTACATGTGCAGTAAGTTTCTCAATTTTGATTTTGTCCCTGGGGGTCAGATGGGGGTAAAAAAAATGACGTTTTTTATGCAAAAAGCCCTGTTTTCCCTGAACTCCTCTTACAATTTAGTCAGCAGCCTAATCATCTTTTGGGAGATGGTTGGTTGGGTCATGTAGATATGCAGTAAGGTTTCGGAATTTTGATTTTGCCCTGGGGGGTCAAATGGGGGTCGAAAAATGATGTTTTTTATGCTAAAAACCCCGTCTTCTCTGAACTCCTCTTACATTTTACTCAGCAGCCTAATCACCTTTTGGGAGATGGTTGGTGGTGTCATGGAAATGTGCAGTGAGGTTTCGGAATTTTGATTTTGTCCCAGGGGGTCAAATGGGGGTCAAAAAATGACGTTTTTTATGCAAAAAGCCCCGTCTTCCCTGAACTTCTCCTACATTTTACACAGTAGCCTAATCATCTTTTGGGAGATGGTTGGTGGTGTCAGGTAGATGTGCAGTAAGGTTTTGGAATTTAGATTTTGCCACTGGGGGTCAAATGTGGGTCGAAAAATGATGTTTTTTGTGCAAAAAGCCCTGAAGTCCCCCTTAATGTTACTTAGAAGCCTAATCATCTTTTAGGAGAGTTAAATATTTTGAAAATTATGTAAAACATCAACGTCAAGGGGTAAAAAAGCATCGCATGCTGGGAAACAACTTGAATTCTTATGAGTAATTAATGTACAT